TAACCAAGACCTTCTGCCAGACAATCCAGGGGAAAACAGGGTGCTGGGGTTGCACGTAGTCTTTTTGCTTTCATTCCTGTGCCAGCACCACTGCTGGTGTGACTGACGCTAAACTAACACCTGCTTTGGCTTCTTGATGCCCGTTTACTGTTCCTGGCCCTAACTAGGCTTCGGGTGCCCAATGTCTTGCTCAGTAGCCTCTTTTTAAGCCCAGCAAGACTGACTTACCTAAAAAAGGACTCTAAAAGCTTTAAAGAACGGACACTGTAAGAGAATTTCCACTCTTTGGCTATGTGAATTAGCCTGTTCAAAAATCCTGGTCATATGTCTTAGGACATTCTTCTGCCCCAACAGAAACATATGAGACAGGCTTACTCCCTGAAATGTAAATGCTTATAAGCAAATTTCATTTCGTTTTCTTACTGAAAAAACTTCTTGAATGCTTTGCCAGGCCAGGAGTTGAAGATGTCCTGATATTTCATTCGCTAGAAATGTTTAGCCTCTGTTTTTTCCAAACATACACCTCAAATTCAGGGCAGCTCACTTCTCCACTTTGACAATAGTTTTCTCTTTTTCTGCAAAATCAACATCTACCTCCCTGCCACTCCTTAAAATACTGAAAGCATGCTAGAGTCTCACAGCACTCCCTTTGAGCCTGGGGGGAAACAGCAGGAGTGACATTCTCCTCTCTGGCTCATTAATCTCTAGAGCCAGAAATATATACATATTTCCTTTTTCCACCACATTCGGTCTGCCTTTAGCTGACTGGCCATTTCTGAAACAGCAGCTAGATCAGGGCATTCTTGCTCAGTATCTCTCTGCAGAAGATCGTTTGGCATTCTATTTCATACGCTCCAAAAGTAGCCAGGTTGTCCTAAATTGTTTAATCAATGTGTATTTTAGCAGGTAGCTTTAAAATAACACAATTTTAATATAGCGGATGTGCCTTCCAGGGGCTGAATGCTATGGAGATTGAGTCTCCCTCAACATCTTAAAAAAAAAAAAAAAAACACGTTGTTTGAAAAGTCTAATTTTACTTTTCCACAGTTTACTTGGCTAGTATAAAAATGCGTGGTTCCAATCCCAGTTCTGGTTGTGAACCTTATCTAGTCTCAACATTCGTGATGAGATAGATTAGTGAAGTAATACTACCACTTGATTAGAACTGAACACATCAACGTATTGAGTCCACTCCTCTTTGAGTTAAATACATCTTTTAGGTTTAGATAAAAACTTCTGCTCACATTCTGAATCCCTCTTTCAGCTTAACAGAGATATTTATTTGCTACTTCTTTACTGTATCTTTCATCAGTAGGATTACAAAACGATTAAGTCGCACTTATGTGCGCAAAGTTAATACACAAGTTGCATAATGAAATTGGGAGGCTCTGGCAAAAAGATGAGATTGTTTTAGAAAAGAGCGCATTAGCCTGCATATTTGTTTGTACATGCTTGATGCATCAACAAAAATCTGCCCTGCTGCCCCAGCAAATAAACTGAGTGATTCTACTGTGGCTTACTTTCTAGCTGCTGTACAACCACCACGTACTGGACACATCGTGTAACTCCATTTTAAAAGGTATTCAAATAGCAGCCATCTCAGACAGAAGTCTGCTTCATTTCAGGAAAAGTTGGTCTTAATAGCTTTATTTGTTTTTTCTCCCAAGTTAAACTCAAAACTGCACCATAACAAAACTGGCATTTATTGAATTTGGTTATTTTTACATGAAGGGCCAGGATTTTTTACTGTAAACAAATAATACAAAAAATACGTACTTGAATTTAACCAGCATCTAAAAATACCACTGACCTTTTAACCAAAGGAACACATAAGCCTTTGCATCCCAGTCCATTTTATATATTGAACTTATGGTATTTGGAAAACAATTACCTGTTAAATGATTATCTTCAAGCTATCCTGCCGTACCCTGCCAGGCATGTACTGTGTGTGGACATTGCCACAGGCTACCCATTAGTTTATCTAGGAGAGGATTTGTTTATAATAATGGTTCAGTCATCTGGGAAACATGATCCAGTCAAACAATAGCATGCTCTTACAGCCAGCGAAACACATCAGGAAGTAAAAAAGATGAACACAGAAACAGAGAATGGAATCTAATAAAATCGCAAATAATCTGTTTATTAGGTTATATTAACCTCAGGTTATAACTTCATGGCCACTGTTTTAATGTCACTAGGATTACCCACTTTTTGGAAAGGCATATTTCAAGCCAAACATGAAAACATAGTGCATTTGTTCTTAGATCAAAATGTTCTCAAAGATTATTTAGAATCTTAGCTGAACTACACATTGTCACTGCACCGGGATCTCTTACTACAAAGCCCCTATTTCTAGCTGCCATTTTGCTGCTGGCTGGGCAGGTCGCGGGGACAGGCACCAGATGGGTTATTACAGCTAAACTACTGCCTGGGTGCGGAAATAGCGTGTTCTAGTATTACAAGAAGCATTTCTCACCAAGTTTCACTTCACTGATCTCACAAGCAACTTACTTTTATTGCTGTTGGTCGTGGGCAAGCAACTGGAATATCAGTGTGGGTTAGAAGAGCGTTGAGGTTTACTAACTGTATGCCAGCACACATCTATCAGCCCTCATTCAGTAACATACATATTTACTTCATAAGGCTGAATCAAGGACATTCTTCCATACTTCCAAACTGAGCTGACAAAGAAAAGAGCAAGCATGCTTTTAAATGAAGAGAGCTCACCACACAAACACCTCACGAGCCTAGAAGTATTATCTTAAGAATAAAAGCTTAAGAATAAAAAGATTAATAATTGAAAGGAGTTTAAAGGAAAAAGAGAGCAGAGTTTGTTTTATATTAAAAATACTCCACTAAGAGAACATTAATGAGGTATGCACACTTTTAGGCACTCCAACTGGGCAACAGAAAAAGCAGACAGAGAAAACTGACATAAGTCATAAACCCCAATACCCTTTTTATTTCTGAGACAAACTGGACTGTCATCCTGGTCCTCAAAACAGCCTGCAATTCACGGACATGGACACAAGTGAGAAATGTTGCCGTTCTATTGGGATTAGTAACTTTGAAGTAAATTCACTGCTTTAGGAGTTATGTTATTTTTAAATGCAGCACTGTAATGTTTTCTACAAACGCAAATACAATTTGGACAACAGAATTTGCCAATGGCACTGATATCTGATACATCCACTCCACATAGTCTTCTCAGGCAAAAGCTCTACATTTTCCTCCTCTTTTTCTTCTGCCTCTTTACTTTTACAGTACAGTCCTAGAAAATGAGCCAATCAGTAACGCACATAGTTACTGCACATAGCACACAGTAACACATACAGTAACTACATAGTAACTTTGCAGGGATTACAGTTTGCTCCAGTGGTCAGTTGTGACATGCTCTGTGTACCCCAGCCCAGATCCAGCAGGGTATTTAGAGCCTACCCCCCGCTGCAATCTGTGGGGCACAGGTGCTTTAAATCCTTTGTGGATCAGTCTTGCAGCTAATGCATACTCTTCACATACATTACTTTTATACATATGAATGATGGGAATTCAGTGCCAGTGCACAGTTTTGAATACAGAAATAAGTAGTGTTCAATGTAATACTATATCAGAGAAATAAGTGGCAACTATGTATTTCTGATTGCCCTCAAGCATATGATGAAGGGAAAAGCTCAGCACAGCTCATTTTCCTTTTTTTTTTTTTTTTAAATAAAGTGTTCAACTTCAAATACACTTAGACAGGTTGTTCCATTTCTGTGGAGGAATAAAAAACAGGAAAAAAGCCGAAAATACATTGCTATTCAATTGCTCACATTTGACGCTACAGGACCTTAAGAGATTTGGGAAACAGGGTTCCCTGTGTGGCAAATTTTTGCTATGGTGACAGTTCATCTTTCAAAACAAGTAATTCATGATTAAATGGTTTATTTATGCACAGCCTTCACTAGTGACATGCTTCAATTTACTATGCACAGCTTTCATTAGTGACATGCTTCAGTTTCAGATAAGCATCATTAAATAACTATATTGTTCAACTGTGCACTATCGAAGTAATCAAAAATGTTCTTCCTAAATTTACAAGAAACAGCATAGAAATCCTTACTAACTTTGTACGAAATGAGTTTGCTCAGCCTCCCAGCTTCCTTCAGCCATACCAAAATACATGATGAGAATTGTTTTTCTCTATAATGAGGAAAGGTCAGATTTTCTTTGCTCATTTTCTTAAACACTGAAGTTCACATATCTCTCAGTAAAGAACAATCCTGTTAAAAATTATCAACCCTTCCTCACTAGATTTTTAGAAAGCTCTTATACTTAAAGGCCCTGAATGGTTAAAACCATTAAACCAGAAAGGTCAAGAAAGGCACAGCAGATGTCCAAGCACCAATTTATCATTTTTGTCTACGATGACAGCATTTGCATAAAGAAAAGGTAAACCCAGTTAGGAACTGAGTAACGCTATTAGAAAGCAAAGCTTTGTTTCTGTGTTGTGCAACCCAACCCTTACTTTTTGAAGTCCTGCTCATTATTCAATTTATAAATCGAAAGCAAAAGGGGCTAACTCATATTCCAAGACATGAACCAAAGTAAACTGTTTCATATTTCTTACCAAATTATATAAATGCAATAATGCTTGAAACCCTCCAGAGAACAACAAACCCCCCTAAACTCAACCATCAATAACTCACTCTTTCCACACAAATCAACAGCCTCTACTTCCTACCACCTTACTTGTGGCCTCCTTGTCTGCCTCTCGCGTAGATAGGAGTCTCCCTGCCTCCTGGATCCTCCTGGAGTCAGCTATGTGGCTTTTCCACTACCATAAAAGAAGTCAGTTATGACAGGCCTGCCTCTTTCAGCCTACTGATTAAACGGACAGATGTACCTAGGAAATCAAGGTAGAAGCCTATTCCCGATGTGTGTCCCCTCACACACTCTACCAGCAGCTATGATAACCAAAACAAGACTGTTTTCTATGAATAATAAACATGTCAATATACCTCTTCCATCCATAAACAGTAAAAATTTTCCGTGCATGTCAAGATGCTTAACAAACCTTCAATATTTGGGGGTAGAGGAGGAGAGGAAGAAGAGAAGCCTATCCAGTTTGTGAGTATATTACAGAAAATCAAGAAACTTTAAATCCAAAGCAACTCAGTGCAGTCTGTTAAACATTTATTTTTAGTTAATGACTTGGTCTGTTATCTGAAAAATGAACTGATCTCTTGGACGTTTATAAAGCAATGTATTTACACAATACATGTTAACTTAGTTAAGTTCAAACCTTAGACACGTGCTGGTTGAGTGCTACATACAAACAGTTTAAGAGGGCAATTCAGAGCATTTCAGATATTTTCTAGAGCTGCAAATTTTATCTCGCATGACCACCAGCTGCAGTTTGATAAGGCATTCCACAGTCGCTTCTGAAAGGAGAATGTTGGACTGTGATAAAAAAAAAAAAAAAAAGAGAATTATGGAAAGAGCTAAACTTCCTTTTTCCTTCAGACTTTTAATTATTCTGTATTCAGTGAAACAGCACAGCTAATCAACTTCTATCCTGGCATAAAAGCAATCAATATTTGAAAATAGGAATTGTTTTTATCTTCTCAGCTTAGCTGGCTTCTTACTCCAGTCTACATTGTTTCTCCTGCACCCATATCATCACAATAAATTTTGGTGAAGAACGTTTGATTAATTGCCCTTTGAATTCTTTAATGCTTCTTGTTATGTGAGCCAGATACCTTTTCTCTGTTCCTCTTCTCGTCCATCACGAAATTCCCAGTTCAGGAAGGAAAGAGGTGGTGTTGGTAAGCCAAAGTAGACTCTTTCTAATGGTAGAATAAGCCTAGCAACAATGTTCAAAGTTTTTAATTCATTCAGTTTGTCCCTTCTTTTTTGCCTCCTTTGCAGAAAAAAAACACCTTCTTCCTTATATCTAGGGATTCAAGGAAGTAGCTTACCCCTTTTCCTCTAAGTTTCTGTATGACGACTTTTACAGCTGGGTTTTGAGGAGAGCTTTACTAGCTGCCGTTTGAGAAAGACATAGGTATTTTTTTAAAAGTTACCCTAAGTGGCATAACAAAGTGAAAAGAAAATCCTTTACAAAGATCCCATTTCAAGAGCAGAAGGGGTTGAGAAGAAACAGACTTACCTTGCTGCCTCTGAAGAAAGTGTCTAATCTCTAAAGGCAGGGTGAAACATCCCAGCACACTGCAGGCGTATCTATCAGCAGCTGAAGGACAGCAATTTGCTGATGTATGAAATAGAAAGTAAGTGTAACTGTCCTGAATATCTGCTGCCAAATTAAAGTTTGTGTGCTGAATCCCCTAATTCGATAAAATAAATTTATTTGGCAGACTGTTTCTAATATCAGCATTTACTGCTGATTTTTCTGGTAGAAGGCAATATTAATTTAATTGCTTTCCAGACAGAATTAGAATCAATTTGTTAAGCAAAAGGAATAAAATTAATCTGTAGATGACCGCTTAAAATCTACAGTAAATACAGAATTCAAAGAATTTCAGGTTTGGATCCTGGCTGAACAGTTTTCTGTCTCTGACAACTGGAAAATCAGACTGAAGCAAGCTGTCAGTAAAAAAATCACAAAACTCCAAAATTTCTCTATAGCACAGTAATTCACATAATGAGACACAGATATCTTGTTAGGGTAAATCACTATTCAGTCAGATATTAAGTGTTCATTCTGTCATTACTATTTGCATTTTATAAGACCTTGTTCATCATATATGCCACATATACACACATGATTTATTAAATATACTCATCCTCAGGTTTATTCCACTTTGCATTTAAAATAATTTTATGTCTCTGATCTTAGTAACACAGACATTTTCAGGATAATCTAAAATACTTCAGTGATTTGTTAGATCACCATTATAGTTTCATTATTTAAGTGAGTGCCATTCTTCATTTTGCCAACAGAAGAAACTGAGACATGATGAGATATGTCCACACTGGTTATCAGATGAGCAAGGATTCCCGAGAGTGGTTTGCGCAGACTAGATTCCTGAGGTGGCAGATGATAAAGGACCACAGCTCCAGCTGGAGAATGTTCAGCAGAACTACAGAATTCCACCGAGTCACAACAATTTATACTAGCTGAAAAACTGACACAACAGTTCTATAAGATTCCAGTTCATATATCCAAACTGAATTAAAAATCACAATATTAAAAGCCACTGTACAGGAATTCTCTGTGCTAGAGCCTACAAAAGTATGACACACCTCAACATGATACGTATTTCTACAGCCAAGAATTCAGCTTAAACAATTTGGAAAACCAGCTGTCAGAAGTTAGTATGACTTAGTTTCAGATGTCAGCTCTGTTTTATATATTATACTATTTTAATAGTACTAGTTTTGCTATTAAAATACTTCTGGTTTCCATCCTTAATTTCTTAATCCTATTCATTTCAAAAGCTGGGTTTTTATTTTTACTTATTTTACAAATATCAGTGGAATAATCTTCCAAAAACTCCTCAGCTGACATACAGTCCTGGTTAATGCCTCTCTACACTAGAAAAAGTAATAAGTGCAACTATAACTCAATGTTATGAAACATTTTTAAGAAATATATCCACACACCTCATTTCAAATAGTTCACAGAAGATCACCCGAGGCTCTACAATACACTTGCTCCAAGGACATCTCATGACTACAATATCTTCATTTGTATAAGTGCCCCAGTCACTACTTCTGCAACATCGGTGAAGACAGCCGTTAGTGTAATAAGCTATGGTGGAACACTCTCACTGACAAACCTTGGATGACCTCTGCAACTAAACTTTGTGTTTAGTTCCAGGGATAAAGCTTCTGAAAAATTGTTACCTGTCTAAAGCTGACCTGCGTCAACCTTCAGAGGCCTTTACATATATTCTCTCTTTTGTCACCTTTTTGCCCATCATTTTATTACCAAGCTGACTTAACTCACAGAAACAGTTCCTGAAGACAGAACATAAAAACAATGGAGTATCCAAGTCCAAGGAACACAAATTGCAGATGCCAGCTACAGAGCAGACAGACAGACTGGCCATTTTGTATGGGTTCTGACAGCATTCAGAATGACAGACCTGCATCAACTGCACGCTGCTTGTGAATTCTGAACAAAGATCTTCAAACAGTCCAAGCAGTACAGGAATCGTTCCACTTTAATTATAGCAATAAGTAGGGAGGCATTATTTTTTTTACCATAAGAGTTCATACGAACAGAAAACCCCAAGGTTCTTCTATCTTAGATCTTTATGGCCAAAGAGTAGCAATGATCAGAGCTGGAAGCAAAGCAAAGTCATAGCAACTTCTCACATAACTCAGCTGCTTCAACATATAACAGGCATTAATTTCAAACACAGCAAATAGGCACACCCTTAATCACAAAACAAACCTCTTAAAAGCATGCTATCAACCAAGCTCCTTCTGAGTCAATTTCTCAAGTATGCAAACTTTGTTTTGCAAGCCATCTCCATGAGCAGATTTCTTCTCACTTACAACAGACAGCATGTAATACCAATACAATAAACAGCAATAAAACTTTAGAAGTGCAGGACAGATACATAGGGAGAGAGGAGGAGAATTTGATATCTTTTAAGTTTCATGGTCATACAGAAGATACTTCCTTAAAAGGTTTGAAAGAAATTGTTTTCAAGCAGATCTTACGTAACTTGTTGCTGCAATGTTAAACTTAAAGGAAATTTATTTTCCTTTCTCCTCATTTTTAGTTTCCTTGTTCATAACAATACTGCACAAGCTGGTCTAAAAGTTAAAGTTATTGTCTAAAAGACAATATATCTGCAAGAAAAGTACAACATAGTTGGGTGGTCTCAACTCTTTCAGTACTGCAATAGCAGCAACAATAAACAAACAAAACAAAAAGATAATTCCGGAAATGGTTTAGTTTAACTGTAAAGGCAAGAAACATTAAAAGCCATTTACAGTATTTTCAAAATAAACAGTATTGTATCCTTCTTTTTCATGGTACTAATATTGCAGCTAATCAAACCAAAATTAGAAATCTAAAGTGATATGAAAAGTCTCAGCCATATCTGTAGTATAGATATAATACTTGTGTGGATATTACTTATAAGTTTTATTCATTCTCTTAAAGTCTCGCCAGTTAGTATTTGTGCTAGGGATTACTAATACACCACTGAGCAGCTGTTATACCCTGCTGCTAAAAAAATGCTAACTTAACTTTGAGCTATTAACACTCTTATTAACTCCTATTAGCTTTCCAGCATCTCCAATGATGAGCGCACCACAATATTTTAATTAACTCTTTTAAAGTGAATATTAAAGTGGAACTTAGGAACCAAACGCGAAGCCCATGTATAAATACATAATACATCTACACAAAAGCCACAATCAAGTGGCAGTTAAAGAAATCTGAGCAAACATTTTAGCAAGAATTCAAAATGGCTAAAGACAGAAAACAGAACATGCCTCATAACATGAGGATAAACTTAATACTCCAAAGAAGTCAAATAACTGAGCATTTTTATCCTTACTTGATGATGCTACAGATTTCTTGATTAACCAATTAAATACTAAATTTAGATATATCATGCCAGTTTTGGTTTTGAGAGACAGGCACTATCTCAAATAGGCACTACTGGACTGTATATTTCAAAGTAAAAAATTATATATATATATAAATTCACTGAAACAAAGAAATCCTGAGATAAAACTGTTCCTGTGTCTACTTCAATACTGTGGCTGGACAGAGTAATAATACTGTTCTTAAACTTTAGAAAAACTTCAGCACAATACAATTAATTAGCTTCCTGCTACTTCCAATCAAGATGTGACTGTCGCTAGTATTGCTTTTCCTGTACAGAAAGCAGACACAGAGCAAAAAGATTAAAGTACACAATGACTATCTTTACTTGAAATGTATTTGCCCGTATTCGTTTCAGATAAGCCTTTCATGCTTTAACGCAATTTTATACACTACAGATACTTTTGCTGAAGTTTCACTTCTTGCTGGTTTAATTGTTTACCTTAATAAAATGAATATGCCATAAAGCTATTACAGTTGAGCAATCCTGAACAGGATTGCAGGTCACTGTAAGTCAGTCATCTTCGGATAACACATCTTTAAAGTCATGCGTTTCAACTACTCTTACCTGGCTTTTCATTGGTCTAAATAAAAAAAAAAAAAAAAAAACACACACACACACACACACACAACAGTGGCAGACAAAGCGTTTCCAAAACCAGTTAAACTACAGTATTACAGAAAAAGAACTACTCTGAACAATATATTGAATTACCTTCCCTTTACCTAAGCTTGTAATCTGTGGCACAAAGTCCAATTTTATATAATACATTGTATCAGAAAATGGAACAGACTTCAAAATGTTTCAAGTTCTCCAGGAACGTCCTATATTAAAATAATAGGTTACTTAGGGTTGGAATGAGATGGAGGCCAAAACAAACTTTAACTAGGTGATTAACCTGGAGACTTTGGAGGACTTTTTGCTGGCTGCAATTCAGACACGGCAGTAGGGGATTAATATTTAATTCATGCTGACAAGTTACTGCCTGGACTTGTGCTGCACTAACCTCAGCCAACACAATTATTGTAAATACATCACACTTTCACAAATTGACCTAATTTTACTAAATGGTTTAGCCATTTTAAAGCTTATCTTTCTTAATTTAAAGGAGAAAAAAGGAAAGAAATAATGTTCTAGATACAAAAACAAATGAATTCCTTCCTTCAGCGAAGCACATGTCCAGTACTACAAGCATGTGCGTACTGAATGTCATTTACTCTGTCATTTGGTACTCTTTCCTTCATCCCTATGTAAGTTTACCCTTTTCTGGACCTGCAATTGCTTCTTTTTCATAATAAATGAATGCATTTCAATAATCTTTCAATTCAATTCTCCAAAAAACTCCGCATGAAAAGTTTTACTGTTTTGGGGTGGGGGCTTTTGGGCTTTTGTTTGTGTTTGCTTTTTGAAGGACCAAAGCTAACAATATTTGATATCTATGTATATGAAAAAAATTAAGAATTTTTTAAAAGCGTGAATTCATTTTACAGAGAAAATTAGTGAACAAATACTTCATTTAGTTCCTTCCACTTCCAGCGTTCCTCATCATCTCACAAGGCCCTTTACATTCTACAAAGGCATCAGAGCCCCCAAAACTTTAAGGAAATAAATATGTTCATCCTACTATCACTACGTTTATTTCAGTAGGGATCATGAAAGTAGCACTACCTATCAAATAGATATTTTTCTATTTTGCAAATTTATACAAGCAACTCGATGAAAAGAACCTAAGACAAATCAAGAGAATATGTGGGAGCAAGGAGATACATATATATTAGTCCTACACACTTTTGACAATACCTTTGGTCTTCAGTATTATAGACAACCTGCTGCATTCTTATTCTGGATAAAGTTACACCTTCTCCATTTTTCCAATTAAAAAAGGAAAAAAAGTAGAGGTCTGAGAGCCAAAGTTTATGCTTGCCCATGAACATTGCTGGGAAACGTACACAAACCTTCCTAACCACCCACACAGTGCTATAAAAATGTCTGAAGTTCTTTAATGCACACAAGATCATCCAGCTGCTCTTTGCTTATACTGAATGTTCTTTTTTGTTCCAGTTTGTTTGAAAAATATTTGAAAGAGACCAAACTTTTAAAGCCTCCAACTCTAGGTTCTAACTATGAGTTTCTTCAAGTCTGGTTTTCAGAGGAATCTAGCTCCTTGTACTTCCACCAGTTGCCAATGGAATTGTAAATTCTTAGTGCATTCTAAAGATAAAACACAGGATATTGTCATATTTGTTGTAACAAAAATGTCTAACTAGTTGATCTCCTGAGCATTGTCAGTTCCTATGATTCTACATTCATTTCAGCTAAACATATTACATTGCACTGTATCTTCCACCAGGTTAACTGAAATATTTTGATTTGTGCATATTGAAGGAAAGAAAGCGTTTTCAGTGCAGCTTAGCATCAAAGCGAGTACACAAACATTGAGCATCTCTAAATAAATGGATTCCTACTTAAAATACAGATAGTGACATTCTCTCCTGCACTTCCTTCATCACATTTGTCTGTACTTTTAAAAGATACATGATGATGATATCATCATGCTCAGAAGTGTGGAAGCTTTCTTATGTTGAAATTTATCTACATGCACAGATAGATCAAGATATCTATAGAGTGATCTATTTATCTATCAACGGGCTTTCCTATTGACCAGTTATTGAACCTCATTATCAAGAAATAAAAAACCTAAGGATTTGCTAGTCGCGCCTGAGTGCCATGTTTGTCTGTCTTTGCCTGCAGTCTTTATGTCCTATGGAAATGAACAGCCATGAGGGGATCAAAGATAAACCCGTTCACCTGGCAGTTTAATACTGAGTGTCACAAAAAAATCGGTATAGACCCTTCCTAAAACCTTTTAGGATAAAGAGAGCATGCTAATTGAACTAGAGACTCTTTGGGACAGTTTTCTGGGTAGAAAAAACCCTAGCAGATACACTCAAGCAGACACTCCATTATTTGCTCATTTGTTTTTGCCAGTTGTTACAGTTGGTCTTATCTCAGTTGAAGCTCTTGTAAGTGCAACTCACAGCGTCGTTCTTTGTGTTGAAAAGTAAATTCTTCGCTCTCTTCTTGTCACAAGGCTTAAAACTTAACGGTAACTGATGAGCTTGTTGAGTTGTCTTACCAATTTACAAGCAACAGGCACAACCATTTAATAACCACAATAACTTCAGAGTTACTGAAGAGAATAGCTACTATGGGAATATCTTGCTTTTGCAAACATGATTTCAAACCTCTTGACAGTCATTTAATTGCATTCTTTCTTCTTAGGTGTCCTGACTCCTATGTTATTAGTGTATCATAGGCAAAAAAATCCCGTTTCACCTCTGCAGACATAGATGGAATTGCACCCTGTTCCTAGGGGGAGAGCTACAACAAAGGAATACTTTTTTCAAGAATATTGCACGCAATGGTACTACTACTCCCACTGAGGTATGTGGCAGAAAGCAGTGATTTCACATTCTGGTTAAGGAGCTGGATCAAACCCATTCCTTCATGTTCACCTTTACTGCAAGATAACGGCTGCCAGACACATACAAGACCAATGGCTGGTACAGTGTTTGTACTAGTGCACACCCTTCCCATTCATCAGTTTGCAAAAATCCATGCGGCTACGTGAAGACTGTTTTCCCTGTCTCTCATCATGAGTGAACACTTTAGGAAAGGATATCTGAATTTTTAGTAAATACATTTAAAATCATATTTAAAAGAAGATAATCCATTTGGCTACCCTAAAAATACAAGATACATCTGCAAGAGAAGAAAAAGGCAGCTCTGAAGCCCAGCTTGGAAAACTGTAACAGGTGGCCTGGTAGAAAGGGTTCGACAGAAGTGGGCAAGCAAGCAAGCAACAAAATCTAGGTTTGCTGGCAGACTACTCACGGTGAATTGGGCAAAAAGGTACAAAATCAGGTATCCAGAAGTCAGTGTTGTCAAGATTCTCTCAGAAATAAGAACAAAAATACTATAAGTTGGACACCACGGGCAAGAAGAAATTCAAAGGAAATTTACACAGCGCAGGCCAGGAATCTGATTTTTTTTTTTTTCCTTCCAGTATATTCCAAGAAACTGAGGAGGCAAGGAAGTCAAGGCCACACTACTGAGAGTTAGTGGAACTATTAGCAGTCTAAACAGACAGAAAAGGAACAGTATTCAATGAACTGAGAGATGTTGGGAAGCAGATTTATGCAATACTGTTAAGATGTTACTTGTTGGAAGTATCCACTTATATATACTAAAGGAAAGACAAGGAATATATATTCTTTTTTTAAAGTATTTTAGCGTTACAAAACTCTTCGGTATATGCCCTGAAAGAGCATCAAAACCCTTCAGTTTTAAAATTTGTACTATTAAAATTAAAGAATAGAACAACTGCAGATTAAGTTTCAAGTACTATTTCTTTAACTCTTTTTAAAATTTAGCAATTATCTATACGTGAGGATAACATCATAGATTATAACCTCTAACCTTTCATTTACACTGCACTGTATACTGTTGCCAAAGTTATCCAGGTTTAATTTTACCTTGTATTTGAAGGACTAAATTAAAAAAAAAAAATCCACCCTAGGGAAATAAATGATTGTGCAACAGCTCCAACTGGTTCCTGGCTCAGACCATGAAAGGTTGCACGCTAAAGAATGGAAAGGGCCCTTTTAGGGAAACTGTGACAATCAACTATCAAGCTCTGCTAAAATAAAAGGAAACCCAAGATAATTTACCCAAAAAAGGACTAGAAACCACAAGATCATATGAACTCTTACATGCAATGACACAAGGGCTGTTTTAACGTGGATTTAATTTTGTATGGATTCCTAGAGTCTCCTACATCACTGCCCACCATCAGCCTGGCGTTTGTTCTTACATGAGCGAGCTCTCCAAAACCTCTCACGAGTTGAGAGACATTAACGGCAACCTCAAATCGGGGGGGGAGGGGGAGGAAAGGATACACTTAAAACCCCAAAGCTAAACCAGAACAGATTTATGAAGCCGGTGGTGATGTGTCTCACAGCTGAGCTGGCCTTCCGCCGCCAAGGCAGGAGGTCTGACTGAAGCTCCTCCGACAGCAGGGACCTCCGAAACGCGCTCCTCGCCCAGCTCACGCTGTCTCTCCCTCCTTCCTCGCCCAAGCTGCCCGCGCTCAGGTACGCTGTTACCTGCCCGGCTCGGAGCCTCCGCGCCGCTGAGCGCCCGCAGCTGCCCAGCAGGCGGGAGGGCTCCGGGCAGAGG